TTCGTGCATCTGCTATCTCTCAAAAACGCATTTCGTGCGAGACTTCCTCCAAAACTCCATCGGCAACTCCTCCACCAGCACCACTTGCAATCCCATTTACAGTGAGGGAACGATCCTAGAGTTGCAAATCACAATGGAATTCCATCTGCAACTCATCCACCAGCACCACTTGCAATCCCATTTACATTGCGGGAACGATCCTACAGTTGCAAATTACAATGGAATTCTGTCGACCACACATGCACGAAAAACAGTTGACACCCCATTTACAATGCGGAACCGATCCGAGCATGATCCGAGGATGATCCGAGGATGATCCGACCACACACGAGACCGTCTCGCACCCGTCGCACAGCAGAGGTAGATCAGCGACGTTCGGGGACGCACATTGTATGGAAAAACATCGGCTTTCGTGCATCTGCTATCTCTCAAAAACGCATTTCGTGCGAGACTTCCTCCTAAACTCCATCGGCAACTCCTCCACTTGCACCACTTGCAATGCCATTTACAGTGAGGGAACAATTTCTTTGCTAACTCTTTCTGTGACTAACTCTTTTCCTCACTAACTCTTTCTTTGACTAACTTGTTTCTTTGCAAACTCTTTCTTTGACTACCTCATATATCCTGACTAACTCTTTCTTTGACTAACTCTTTCCCTCACTAACTCTTTCTTTGACTGACTCTTTCCCTCACTAACTCTTTCTTTGACTAACTCTTTCCCTGACTAACTGTTTCCCTCACTAACTCTTTCTTATACTAACTCTTCTTTACTAACTCTTTCTTTGACTAACTCTTCTTTGACTAACTCTTTCTTTGACTAACTCTTTCCCTCACTAACTCTTTCCCTGACTAACTCTTTCTTTGCTAACTCTTTCTTTGACTAACTCTTTCCCTCACTAACTCTTTCTTTGACTAACTCTTTCCCTCACTAACTCTTGGTTTGACGAACTCTTTCCCTGACTAACTCTTTCCCTGACTAACTGTTTCTTTGACTAACTCTTTCCCTGACTAACTGTTTCTTTGCTAACTCTTTCTTTGACTAACTCTTTCCCTCACTAACTCTTTCTTTGACTAACTCTTTCTTTGACTAACTCTTTCCCTCACTAACTCTTGGTTTGACTAACTCTTTCCCTGACGAACTCTTTCTTTGCTAACTCTTTCCCTCACTAACTCTTTCCCTCACTAACTCTTTCTTTGACTAACTCTTTCCCTGACTAACTCTTTCTTTGACTAACTCTTTCTTTGACTAACTCTTTCTTTGCTAACTCTTTCTTTGACTAACTCTTTCCCTGACATTCTAAAAGTCCGTAACACGGAAGTTTCTCCCCCTAAACTTCCTTTGACAACTACAACATCAACTTTCCTAAACAGAGGGACTCACATTATTGTTCAAAACTCTGCCACACTGTGCAAAGACATAGTGTCGCATCATGTGTCTCTATTTCACACTTGCAAAAGTGTACATGATCTGTTTGTTTTTGTTGCATCGTGCTTTGCAAATATCATTTTTTCTGATTGAATTGCCTTCATGATTACAAACCCCCTTCTGTATGCCAAGATTCGAAGCCGAATCTGTGCATCTTTCTCCCCTTCCATGACGAGCATATATGGCCGACCCCGCCCAGGAAGCTCAATACAGAAAGGCGCTAGAGCATTGAAAGCGTGTTAACAGGTCTTAACCCTGCGTGCTGCTGGTGTTTTCTTTGCTACTCTCAAATACAGCATGTCAAAAATGCCACTGCGTTATATGAATTATGTTTTGAGAAAAACGGATCATGCTTATGTTTATGTATCGTCAGGTATTGTTTGTTCATCGTTTGCTGCCGTGCTTTTGAGAAGCCAAAGGTCAAGTACGTTGAATCAGGATGGAAAACAACACTCGCAAAGCAGGAGGAAAAGGCAATGGTATCAAAATCTATGCCAGCAGGAAATACTGCAATGCACTACTTGCATTCTTTCTTTTGCATGCTATCATGTGCTATCGCATGACATGGCAGGGCAACTGAGTGTGAGAGAGTCAATCGACGAAACCTTTCTAAAGGCAAATTGCAAATAAGTTTAACAACATCAATGTTCTGATAGAGAAATTGAGAAGTTGGTTGACAAACAGCATATATATATATTCGTTTGGATTTGCTTCGCATGCACCAGACTGCACTAGGATTATTCTTTGATATGAAGTGGTGTCATTCACTGCCAACACCCACGCCCGTCATGTTCTTTTTCATCTTTTTCAGCTTTGCTCGCACTGAGGATTCTTCCTGAAGCGCCTTGTGCTCAAGTTGTTTTCACTGTTAACATCGGATCAGCAGTGCTATGTGCATCTATCAGCCTCTTGATGCTAATGGTTGAATCCGCAGTATGTAGTGTGTCTTGCCAACACCGCATGTTTATGCAAGTTTCTCATAATCTAACATAGAAACTCCAGTATTCTGATCTTTACGTGGGTTGTTTTGAAGGTGCCAATGGATAGAGTGGTCCGTGTAAGCCAGGATCAGAGAAAATCATTCTATACAAAAAGAAAGAAGAGACATTATCACTGCGCTCAAAATCGATTGAACGACACATTGTCTCACTTGAAAGCTTTGGAGACAACGGAGTTCTGATGGGCTTTGCTCAAGCTAGAAGACGCTCTTGGCTGGTTCGTTGAGCAAGGGAAGCCAGACACAGTCTCGGATACATGGGCATGGCATGATGCCATCCACCAAAAATGGGAGTAATCAGTAAAGAGGATTCAGGAGGGACAACTTGTCTTTCCTTCACGACCATCTGTGAAACTTGTTGCAAAGGCCAAAATTACCTCATAGATTCACGGCCATGAAACTGTGAATACAAATGTTGTGTTTGGGGCTAAAATCGTCCTTTCCAAACTGCGGCCTGAAGTGGTGTTTCAAGAAAGTCTTGAAGTGCAAAAAGGCCATGTCTATATCACGTGACCAACATGGCTCCAAACTAATGTTTTAAAACCCTCATTCATCCTGATTCTAATTTAAAAAATGCGCCGTGTGTTGGCTGGTGATGCTGTTGGGACGAATGTAAGGTCTCTAGCCCGAAACGTTGGTGCAAACCAAAATCGGCTGACGACTGGCTTGCAAAATGTGAACCCAGAAAATGACACAAGCTGGATCCTCCTAAAGCATTGCAGAGTTCTAGAGGATAGACCTCATTTCCCACCGTGTCATTTGGATTTTGTGCCAGCATAGGTTCCCTCAGAGTTGTTACACCAAACTAAGTGCATTCAAATAAAATCAGAGCACTCAAGCGAAAGCAAAATCGATGAAATTCCTGCAATGAGTAGAGGTTGGTTCCCAAAAGCAATGCGTAATCCTTTCAATCCTTGACAAAGCAGCGTGTTTTTAAGGCAAAAGCCTCTGCTCCAATAAAGGACATGCACTATGGGGGGGATATTGCGGTGCTCAACATTCAGTATCCTCTGCAGTGCAAAGAGCGTGTTCAGAACAGTCCGAGATCTGGGACAGCCATTGAAGAAATAAAAGTTAAAAGTTGTTCTTAAAAACAGGACTATTGCGTAACTTCAGAGGGTCAAGCTCTGTCTCTGCTCCAGCATGGTTTGCAGAGTCAAACATCCTGTGGGAAAAAAAAACTTCCGACTGGCTTAAAAATCCGTCTCCCTCACAACAAGCCTACATATCTATCATGTTTTCCATCTTTCTATCTTTCCATCTATCTATCTATCTGTCTGTCTAGTCTAGTTTAGTCTAGTCTAGCCTAGTCTAGCCTAGCCTAGTCTAGTCTCGTCTGTCTAGTCTGTCTAGTCTGTCTAGTTTGTCTAGTGTGTCTAGTCTGTCTGGTCTGTCTAGTCTGTCTAGTCTGTCTACCTACCTATTTACCTATCTATCTACCTATCTACCTGTCTACCTGTCTACCTGTCTACCTGTCTCCCTGTCTACCTGTCTACCTGTCTACCTGTCTACCTCTCTGTCTATCTATCTATCTATCCATCTATCTATCTATCAATCTATCTATCGATCTATCTATCTATCCATCTATCTATCTATCAATCTATCTATCTATCTATACCATTACCTACCTATCTACCTATCTATCTACCTGTCTATCTACCTATCTATCTACCTATCTATCTGCCTATATGCGTATCAATCTACAAAGCTACCTATCTACTCTTCTACCTGTCTAACTTTCGACCTGTCTACCTGTCTACCTATCTACCTTCCTATCTATCTACCTACCTACCTACCTACCTGTCTACCTCTCTACCTCTCTACCTAGCTACCTAGCTACCTAGATGCCTATCTACCTATCTACCTATCTACCTATCTACCTATCTACCTATCTACCTATCTACCTATCTACCTATCTACCTATCTACCTATCTACCTATCTACCTATCTACCTATCTACCTATCTATCTATCTATCTATCTATCTACCTGTCTACCTATCTATTTATTTATATACATAATATATATATAATATATCACCTGCCAAATTACGCCAGAGAATCACGGATCACTTCTTGGTAGCCTTTTAAACATGCAGCTAGCATCACGGAATCCCTTCTCAGGACAGCTTTTTTTGCAAAGTTTACTGGCCCACCCCCTTCAACATGCACTTTGACTTTCGCCCGCTCTTTCGCATAACTTTCGCGGAACTTTCGCGAAATTATCCCTATTCACAGACCCCGGCCATCAGCAGGGGGTGCTCTGAAGGAAAAGCGAAGACCAGGGGCCTTGGTGTTTGGCTCTCGCAAAGCCTCACTTTTGGAAACTTGGCTACTGCTACTCGCATTCTCTGGTGCCCTTCTCCTGCCGGACCCCGGGCGGCAGCGGGTTGGCAGCCCTTTATATATAATGATTATAATACCCAACTTTCGCGAAACTTTCGCCAAATAAAATTTTACTTTCGCGAACTCGAAAAAAAAACTTTCGCGAGGATTTCCAACATAACATGCACGGCTTTCGCAATTAAAACTCCTTACAAGGACCTTTAGATCGATCACCATATATATTCTGACATATCATGACATATTGCTGGGGCAGATTGACAGATTGACTGCGGAGATAGCCTGTCCTCTCAGGGTCTGTTAAGTATCTCCACCGCCTCAATCATGAGTCATGGAACACGACCATACTTCAGCTGCTGCAAGAGGAGTGTTATCCAATGAAAATGATGAAACTGCCGGATGAAGCATGATGTTGCCTCCTGTACCATGCTGAAAATCAAAATCTGCACGCACCTGACCTATCCTTAGCATCTCGTTTCGGCCCATTGGGCCTCCATAGGCTTGGAAGTCAGCTGCCGAGTCCGCACATTGCTTCATGCCCGGTGCATCAATGCGATCCTGGAGGAGTGCCAAGAGCATTTCATCGAGTCATCATGCAAGACCTGTTGATATGTGTTCATAGCAGGTACGTTCAGAAATGTCTGGAGCTTTTTACCATAGATACAAGGCGAGGCAAATCATGCAAAACTATACAATGCAGGTATGAAATGTACAATGACACTGCTCTTTTGCACCCTTCATCCATGGAAGTCGGTGTCGGTGTATCCTCCTTAAAGCCAAAGTGCGATCGCTCAAAGGTGATCCTGGATTCTGGCGGCAGCCAAGTCTACCCGTCGTACAAAATTGCTGTGATATACTAGCAATATTAGCAATGGTATATAGCAATGGTATGTTGTGTACAGTGAGTGTCAAAAAAAGGGAGGACAGCTACCACCACGATGCCACGTGTATTTTGGTGCTTGGCTTATTTATATTTAAACACCTCAAACCAGGTCCAGCCGAGAAATAAGTTGCAAAACCTGAGTCACGCAGCCCTTCTTGCCAAGTTTCACAGAGCGGGGAACCTCCAAGAACGGCATTTCCTACAGGCGGTAGGGCGGAGATCCGTAGCATACGGACATGCAGTGGCAGCTGAAGAGTCTTCACCGCTGCTTCTCTGTTCCAACAGAGGTGCAATTGGGTCCTTCCTACTCCCTTGCCAAGAGAATAGTCGTTTGAATAAATCATGCCCAGCAAAGGTGTTGTTGTATCAACTTCTATCACTTTGTGTTTATGTGCCACAAGCTTCAAAACACATGTGCAACATTGTCTTGGCAAGACATGCTGCAAAGATTCTTTGAATTAGCACGAGGAATTGATGACCTTGAGTCCTTCCCAGAGTCCATTCTCAATGATTTATCCCGACAACCGCTGTGGCCATGCTTGATCATTAACTGGCTTGGTCCTTTGGTGCTGTGTGCAGGCAATTAGAATCAGTTGGCAGTGCCTTGACCAGGTCCCATGCTTTTGGGGCCTCCAACGGAACTCCCCGAAAGTAAGCCAATAACACGCGGCACACAGCCTGGCTCGTTTGAATCTTGGGTACAGATTTTGGTTCGAATTGCATGCAGATCATTGGCAAAATCTAAAAGGGGTGAGGAACAGTTTGAGGATTGCTTGAGGTTTGGAAATTGTTTTTGGATTTCTTTCCTGGTACCATTTGTCTTGTATTTGCAACAGTTTGGAACTAAAACCCATTATTTTGCATGATATTTGTTATATTGTGGCATGTTCACCTTCCCTTTTGCACGGCATTTGCTATATTTCTGGCACCTCAACCTCTCATGTGTATGGTATTTGCTACATGTTGGTACTTCAAACGTTCAAGACCTCTCATTTTGCATGGTATGTGCTAAATGTTGGTACTTCAAACGTTCATGCGGGTTTCTCTAGGGTTTCATTTTGGGTATCTTTAGGGTTTCTTTAGGGTTTCATTTAAGGTTTCTTTAGGATTTCATTTGAGGTTTCTTTAGGGTTTCATTTGAGGTTTCATTTAAGGTTCATTTAGGGGTTCATTTAAGGCTTTATTTAGCGTTTCATTTAGGGTTTCACGACGGTTGTGATTTAGGGATTCATTTAGGGTTTCATTTAGGGTTTGCTCAGGGTTTCTTTAGGGTTTCATTTAGGGTTTCTTTAGGGTTTCATTTAGGGTTTCTTTAGGGTATCATTTAGGGTATCTTGAGGGGCTCATTTAGGGGTTCTTCAGGGTGTCATTTATCTTCAGGGTTTCATTTATATAGGTTTTCATTTGGGGGTACTTATTAGGGTGTCTTTGAGTTTCATCTAGGGTCTCATTAAGGATGCAGTAGAGAATAAAAAAGCAAAAGATAAAGAAGAGTAAAGAGACAGTAAAGAAAGGAAGCAGAGAAGCAAAGGAGCAGGAAGAAGCCGAGCAGCAAAAACGCATGACTGCAGAAAAAGAAAAAGTATAAGTAGAAAGGCACAGAAGCAAAAGAGCAGAAAAGCAAAGAAGCAGGAAAAGCAAAGAGCGGAAAAGCAGAGATGCAGAAAAGAGAGAAGCAAGAAAAGCAGGGAAGCAAGAAAAACAAAGAAGCAGGAAAAGCAAAAAAAACATAATAAAAAACAGAAAAGCAGGACGGAAAAGCAAAAAACGGAGAAGCAAAAAAGCGGAGAAGCAGAAAAGCACAGCAGGAAAAACAAAAAAACGGAAAAGCTCGGAAAAGCAGAGAAACAGAAAAGCAGAGAAGCAGGAACTGCAGAAAGCAGGAATCAAAACAAAAACTAAAACTAAAACTTATCAAAAACAAAAACAAAAATAAATAGCCCTCCGACACAGACATTGAACGAGTCTTAACACGTGAATAAACTGCTTCAAAATAGCCTTGTCGCAAAGCAGGAGGACGTTTCCCATGACCTGCTCGAGTCGCAGGACCAAGTAGGTGAGGCGAAACACCACATCCTCCGCAGCAATGTTCAGCACAGCATGAAGATTACCCAAGGACCTAAGGGCCTTTTGGATTGGCATATTTCAGCACATTGATGTTTCTCCCCATGCCTGTAAATCACTCTCTCATTGGCGCACATCAGGCATCGGGAGAAACATCACCAAAAATAAAGAAACATGAAGAAACCGTTGCACTTGAGTTTTCGGAGCGTGAGACGCAATGCTGCGGTCCTGGTAGCTCTCACCACCAACTCCGGGGTAGCGGTAGTTGAGTTTGTCCTTTCGACGCTCTTCCCACTCCTGCTTCGCATTGGCTGTTGGGGAAGATCGCGCATCATTCGACTGTGTCATTTCGTCAACTATATGACCATATGTCAACTACGTCCATTACGTCAACTACATCAACTACGTCAACTACGTCAACTAGAAACGCCTTCTTCCAGAGATTGTTCCATGTTGCCTCACTTCCAACGTGGCAACTGCCCATGCAAATCAAAAAATAAGGACTGTGCAAGTCTGCGAGCAGGTTTGGAACGTGTATATCTATATTAATTTACTTATATAACAGTGTGTGTGTATATATATATATATACAACATTATATAACCCTTGCTGCTATCACCACAGGTAAAGCAATGTCGAGTCATGTCCTATCGTGATCGAAACACACTGTATCTCTCCGAAGGCTTAGCCGCAGCTCCATTGTTGGATCAGGCCTCCGGATAGAGCTCTTTCATGTCCTGCAGTAGCACATCAACAAAAAACAAACCATCAGGCCGTGATCCAGAAAATACAAACGTACCGAAATGCAACCATCATTTTTTGATCATCCCAAGTGTATCCCAATTTCACTTGTACTCTCCAAGCTACCGGGAGTCTCAACTATAGTAACTCGGAACAGTAAGCACATCTGTGAAATGACTGGAACTACAGTCATATTCAAACATTCACTGGATTGGTGAAGAGGTGGATCTGCACCGTCTGGATGTATTGGTGCACCAAAACTTGAGGCCCAGGGGTAAATGACGAAAGCTAGCTTGGCAAGGAGTTTGGCATGAAAACACCCAGTATATTCGCAAACCCATCTGTATGAAGGAATATTATGTCCAAGACAAGGCTTTCCATGTCTTGGTATAGAATGATTGGGACACATTGCAGGGGGATCAAGATCAATGTCACATATGAAGAAAACACAATTATATATCACGCGCGTGAACATGATGAGGAAACCCCCACTCAGTAGAGTGGTGGTCACTAAACAAAAAGAAGATTCAAGGGTCCACCTTCAGCATCGGAGTGGGCCTTTCAAGGCTTAGAAGCTGCAAGAAAAGACGATGTTGGAAGCGTGGCTAGGTAGGATGTCATGAGGACAAAAAGCGGAAGCATGCCATTGCAAGTGCTCCAGATAGATCTTTGCAAACTCATCTGTATGAAGGAATATTATGTCCAAGGCAAGCTTGCCATTTGTATGAAGGAATATTATGACTGGAAACTACAATTGAAGGTTCAAAATGAAAATGAAGCTACGTTTTTGGGCTCATGGACATGCCAATAGTGAGCGAGGCTGCACCAGTGACTTGAAGCATGCGCTGCTGACGATGCCAATGATGCTGAGGATGCGGATGCTGCCGGTTTTGCTGCCGGTGGCAAAATGCCGACCGTGTCCCCGGGGGGGTTCGAGCCACGGCCAAAGTGCTTGTGAACCAGCCAGGGAGGGCAGGGGAGGGTTAGTTGTATAAGTATGAAGTTTCATGCGATTGGGGATTCCATCCCCGCCAATACCTTGCTAAAGCAAGAGGGACTTCAGCTTGCGGAAGCTAGCTTTCGTGAAAACAGCTGCCCATACCCCCATGTCGCCCCCACTCCTTGTAAGATAGGCTGTCCAAAAGACCAGCGCACAACTCATTCAAACGAGCAAATTTCAAGACCTCAGCAAACCAACGACACAAATCTGGCTGGAAAAACAGAGGAGAGGGAGAGAGAAGGATCTAAAAGGCAAATGGCGAGATGCTGGACGCAACAGCCAGTAAGTAAGATGTATCTGCCACAAATTGAACGGATAGTTGGATCAGTTGGATCTCAAATGTCACACCTACGCATAGTTTTGCACGACCAAAAGGTCCTGCGAATCTGCAGTTCTGCTCATTAAATCAGCGGTTCTTGCTTGCCGTTGCATGGCTCCACTACTCGCAGACCTAAACAAACTCGTTTCAATGGCCTCAACAGACCTCAACATTGAAACTAGTGATAGAAAATAGTGGAGAGCATCTACTGAATCTACTGTGTTTTAGCTGAGACTTGTGCTGTTCTGCACTGAGTGTCACTGCAGCCATTCACTCCCTGACACTGGTGCAGGTTTAGAGTTGGGACAAGAAGCGAAGAAGAATTGAAATTAACGGTGCTTATGGGAAGTCTGAGACTCAAAGCAGGCCGAAGCAGGTGGCAAAGTCGCATTTAGAGACAAGAACACCAATGGCATGTTTCCCTGCAATTGCAGTGTGATGTACAACAATTGCACATAGGATTTACATGAATATATACAAAAATATATATACATGAATATATATATATATATGGAATTGCAGCAATTCTTTGGCAATCTCTGGCAAAGCCCCTCACCTTGAGCGCTTCAACCGTCTGTAAGTGTCGCGCCAAGGTGCCGCACATCACCTCAGGACATTTCTCGAGAGCCACACCAGAATCTACAAGAGGCACTTCAGATCACTTCAGCCTTTCGGTTCTGCACACTTTGACCAATCTACAGTAAACTGTTTTGCTAACTACCAGCAGTCTGTGAATGCTTCTTTGAACTTGTTCAAAGCCAGGTGTTAGTAGATTGTAGACTTATAATATATTTATATATATACTTACGTAATTAGATCAATTTGACAATTTGTGGGATCTGTGCACACTTTTCACTGCGCAGTTCCTCAGGAGGCTGCACCAACACTCTGAGAATGCCACCAGGACAGGCTTGCCCGCTTGTCGTTCGCGTTCACCAACAAGTCCTTGGACGGCTTGCGGACGGCTTGTGGACGGCTTGTTGACGGCTGCATACAGCTGCAAGATGCTGCAAGGATGAATTCTTTTGACCTCTTTTGGCCTCACTTGACATTAAAATACAATAAATACAGCGCACAATGTTGTGAACTTGGTTGCCTTGTCTGATCTTGTTCTTAACTACGAAGTATACACGGTTTGCAAAATGCAAACTATGCATGTAAGCTGGATATTCCAGGCTCAAACCAGCTCGAAGCACCTTAGGCACCTAGCCCTGCTACATGTATTCAGTGACTACAACCAAAACAACTGCCTCCATCCTTCACTACACTTCACCCTTATATCTGACTTGAAGTTTTATACATGTTTGTATCTGTGTGCAGACTATAATATAATATATCAAATATACATAAATATAATTTAAATATATGTAGAATTATGTAGATATGTGGCATTTGTAGTCATTTGTAGTGGCACCGAACAAGAATATGTACTTCGCAGTTCGCCCGAAGCCAAAGCTCGAGCAATAGCAGCTGCATGCCGCTGACCTGGAGGCATAGGTTGAACTAACCGTGAAAGCGCAAAGAATGGTTCCGTGAATGGAGGTACCCCAAAAATGATAGTTTATAATGGAAAATCCTATTTAAATGGATGATTTGAGGGTACCCCCATTTATGGAAACCCCCACATCATGCTTTGAACTTTGAACAATTTGATATGAAGAGTCCAAACTGCTTGAGACCGCCCAGGACTTGCGATTGATTTTTGTGACAAGAAAAAACAGTTTTAAAAAAACACACGAATAAATAGATACAACATGATAAAACTGCAAATTCACTGTCGATTGAATCGGGTCACTGCATAGAAGTCCGCATCCCACAGAGATAGGGATAGGACATGTCTGAAATGCCACCAATCCAGAGCGCATTGTAAAATATGAATGAGTATGACTGAGTATGATATGAATGAGTATGACGTCAGCCTGAAAGTATTGAGAGTGCTGCTTCCCTTTGACCATGAAAACAATCATAGATCCATTTAGATCCGTTCCATGCGCCTGCTTCACTCAACTCAGAGTCTCCACCCAAAAGGCCTTTCCTGGCATGAAATTAAACAGTGGATGAGCTCCCGTTGAGGCGGTCCAGTCGAAAATACCAGAAAGTACCAAAAATCCCAGGCGGCCCATGCTTTCCTTTGGCAACTTAAGAAATCTTAAGAATATAGTATATTGATTTATATTGATTTATATTGCCTCAGTGTGTGGTATAAGGCTGTACCCCACTTCTCGTTCTGCCCCGACCAATCAAAGTCAGTTTTATTAGCTAATCACAGTTCCACGTGTGTGTCCTCTTACTCCAAATTATGTCCTGTCTTCATGCGTGTTTTGGACCTCAATATTCTAAGGTCCTTTCAGTTTATCTTTTTGCATCTACGCTACGTACTGCTTTGGTCCTTCAAAACATTTCAAAACCGTATGTCAAAATTATCTTAAGTGCTGCATCAGTTCTATCTGTCTCCAGACGCCTGTCATGCTCGGTCTCTCCGACCATTGCGATCATGATGCAACGCTTGCCGAGGTTAATGCTTCCCATCAAACCAAAGATATACCTGCAGCGCATCCAACTTTAACCGCACATCTCCTCTGGCTTCGATGTAAAAATCTGCGCAGTCCGAGCGGAGCTTCAAAACTGCATCAATTTTGGATGCGCCTCACCACACCATACTCATCATCTTTGGAGCGGCAGCGGTAGCATATCAATTTCTCCTCAGCTGAGGGACGACTTTTATTTTGCTGCACTTGGAGAAGATTAATGTACCCCCCCTACAGTGTTTACATGTTGTATTTTTGTTTTATTGTAATGTTCCAAGAAACATGTTTGTGGTGTTAATCTTGTTTTCCAACGATGTCACCCAATCACCTATACTATATATCCTTTTCGTATTGCGTGTCAGGAATCCCTACCCCGTTTTTGGAGTCCCCCTACATCGTTCTGCATCAGTGGATCCGGGACAAGACCTGCACCCGCCGAATATCACGTTCAACGGTCTCAAATAGTTTCTGTTGCTGAGCTAAGAGTTGTTGGCAATTTGGACTGGCTGGATATAAAAGAATTTGAGGAAGGTCGCCTTTAAACATTCAGCTTCCGCGCCAACCCCCTAGCAGAATCCAAAGACCAAACATGACCAAACTAAATTTACACGTCTCTCATCGTCTCTCAATATTCTCAATAGTCATTCGAGTCATTCCCAAAAATCCAAAAAAAAGAATCTAAAGTTTATCTAAAGGTAATGAAGCGTAATGGCCTTCCTGAAGGAGGCAATGGATAGATGGCAAGGCCGCAAGGCCGCAAGGCCAATGGCAACGTGATCACAACGTGATCACAACGCCATTTTCTGCAGCCCCAAGTGGCTCCAGCATTGATCAATTTGATGTAGCCACATCTATGGTCACATTCGTGATCTTCAACTGGTTCGTAAACTTCAGCATATTGATGCACCTTTGAAGTGAACGCAAAGAAACACAGCTTGACACTGCTGAAAAACAACCGCAGGCTTTTTGTCAGCCTTTGCTGTGCAAAATGGAGACTTACCCAGCAGCCAGGCACTCTGTTCTTGAAATCTTGAAGGGCTCTCTCAGCATTCATTCCCTTGTAGTCTTCGTTCCCTAACCTTGGTATTGCTGCTGCAAGTTGCTTGCTGTGGCAGTTGGGCTTGGGATATCTTGGGATGATAGCCTCATGGCTGAACTCTGCCTGCTGAGGCGCTTGAGCTCGTAGTTGTTTTGCAATATCTCCTCACAAAGCTCTTAAGCGGTGTGCAGTGACCATTGAATGCATTGATTTGGTCTGACCTGTATGTACCATGATTAAAAAAAATGGGAATCCTTGTAGATCCTTATTAACCTTATTATGGGTCTTTCCATCACTGTTAATGGATTTATGACCATCCCACAATATGGGCAACATGTAGCCGTAAGTGGGCCATCACTTTTTTGGTTTGCAATTAAGGCATCACGACGTGAGTTTGGCTCTTTCCCTGCTTCGACCTGTTTCAGCATTTCATGGAATTGTATACGCGGCTTCTCAATGAGTTGTTCATTTTTTTGCTACGTACAAGTACTGGCATCCCACAGTGTGTGTGTGTGTACTCTGCTCGTCTCTGTCAGCATTTGCCAGTCTTTGCTTCGTCCTCGTCGTCACACAAGGACTCCAAGAAAATCAGTCGAATGCCTTGGCGTCCACAGACCTGCACGCAGAGTACAAGGATCTGCCAAAAAGCAGTGAAGATCCAAGTATATACAAATATATATATATACATATATATATATATATAATTCTATACATATATATATATGTATACATATGTATATAATTGTATATAGAGAGAGAGAGAGAGCTTGCATGAGCCAAATGACTAAAGTCTCTGTGCCCCTGTACCAAGACTTTCCTTGTCACGCACTAAAAATTATCGGAACTTAAATATCTTAAACAGTGATGTAATAGTGATTTGCTTTGCTTCCCACATGCCAACTTCAGTCTTGGATGCAAAGTGGTGTTGTTCTGTTTGGCAGCAACATCAAACGCGTGTCTCCGCGTTGACAAAGTGCTGTGGGTCAAGTCACTCTGCTTGCTGCTCATCTGTGAAACTGAAACATTGTTTGCTAAGGGAACCTGCCCTGAACAGACTGTGCAAGGGACGTGATTTCACTTCCATTGCGGTCCATTGCCTTCTCCTTCACTTTCCTCCGTCTGTCCAGCGTTGTATTTGTGGCATCCAAAATCCTTGGATCATGGAAGCATCTTGGCATGTCTTGGCCATCGGCACAAAGTGTTCAAGAAAGACAAATTGTGGTCTTGTGCACTAGCCAAACTAGCCAAAACGACTCTGTACTAGATCGATTGTACTCCGAAAGTAAGAGAAATTCGCCATGGCCTGTGGAGGCTCGGACATGCCTAGACATGCTGCGACAGGGCGACCTCACCGCGGACGTCTAAAGTGCACCAAGAGTCCCAACTGCTGTCGCCCTGCCGCATGCCTCCAGGAAGTCTAAGACCTGATCCAAACACTCCATGGCCATTTCATCCCGCAGCCTGGCACATCAGGGTTTTGGCATTGTTGGTTCATGTTGGTTCATGTTGGTTCATATGAAAATTCATGAAATCACTTGAAAGCAAAACAAAATCATATGAAATGCCAGCTGAAAGCAACGTAGGACCAGGATTTGGAAAGCTAAGAACAGATTGCAACAGGCACTGCAAACATGCAGCGTAGAATAAAGGTCTTGAATTCTGCTGGTCAAAGATGGGTACAGTATGGTACAGTTACAAAATGTTACAAATATATGTAAACCCGAGGTGGACTCTGCGCTCATAGTGGATTGGCCCATACTGGAGAGGATGTTTTTCTGCAAGCGCAAATGCCCTGCGTGTGGCAATTCCCATGCAATGGATTGCCATGTCATGTTACGGGATATTTGGGGATTGTCCAGGCTGTTGCGGCATTTCGCGCATGTTGGTGGAATAAAGATGCATAGAGCATTAGATTAATTATAAAACATCTTAATAAAACAAAATCTATAATCTATCTAAAATAAGCATATTCGAGGAATACTGGTACTCACTTTGCTGTCTGCGCGTAGAGCGAAATGCGGACATTCATGGCCCTGGCAAGTAACCACCCGAACCGCTCTGCACTGATCAGCACTGTAACCTAGCATCAAATCCGGACATGTATATAATTATATATATATACATTATACATCATATACGAGAAACGTCAACAGAACCCATGCTCACCCTCTCCAACTTGAGAATATGCACATAGCATCAAGAGTATTGCGCGTTTTTCGCGGGAGCGGTCTTGGCTGGGGGCCAAATGCCGCAGTCGTGCCTTCTATACCTATATAATGCGAAGACTGTGAAGAGGGAGAAATGTAAGACAATGTAAGCCCAAGTCAAGACCAATCACAAACAAAAAACCGCTGAGAATGTCAGAGCGTAATTCTGGGACTAGTTTTCATGTCGCCATATGTCGCCCGTGTCCGCGCCTTTTCGCATCGGCATTCTTTTGGTCAAAAAAGTTTGCATCGACGCCACTCTTCCCACTCTCGCGACGCAAGTTGCCCGCGTTGAAGAGTCTTGTTGGACAGCCGCAGAAATTCCTTTTCCGGATAACCAGGGGCTGCAGTGTGCATGCATGTAATGAGCACACTTCAACAACATACAAACACCTCTTCTCTAGTGTCCAGTATCTCTGGGCATTTATACTCCTTCACTCTGCCAAAGCTCAAGTAGCGGACAATGGCTTTTGAGATGTACGACTTTCCTCTAGCAGGCAAGCCGACCATGGCAAGAACCACCTTAGGTACATGGTAAAAGGTTATGCTGTCAACATCCAGGAAAGGTAGTTGCATGACAATGTTGCAAGATACTTCATGTAATCACCATTTGCCCACTGATCCAACTGTGGTGTACATCTTCAAAAAGAGAGTGCCAATAGCAAAGTGCTTGAATGAGTGCCAGGTCACCTTTTGTTCCACCACCTTGTTTTCATTCCTTAGGTTGTTCAATGCTACAATTCCTCCGGAATAGCAGCATGCCTGCTTTTCATCCCTGGAGAATCTTATACAACATGTGACTTACAGAAAATCACAAGGTTCGATCCGTTTTGCATTTCTGCGGCGATCTTCAAATTGCCACATGGTTCCTTTGTGCTCTTGAGGCATTTCATTGAATACCGCGTGGATAAAGGTCAGAGTATCCTCTCAAGTTTTTTGGTAACGTCTGGATGCCTGGACCATATCCCAACACTCTTTACAACAACTGAGTGCTCTGAGGAATCCCCAATGATCCTGAAAGATCCTCAGTGACATTAATAGTATTAATTTCTATATTGATGCGTATATTGATTCTTGTAATATTTGATCATATCTACCCAGGTCTATCTATTCTACATATTTCTACATATTTCTACATATTTCTACATTGGTTTCTTCATTTTCTTCCAAGTTTCTGGGTGAATTTCCCCGAGATCCTCCGATGGAAGGACCTGGGAGGTGGCACGGCCTCCTCCAAAACCGCCGGCGGCGGAGGCGCAGGCGGAGCTTCGGCCTCCGACTTCGCAGTGATGGACCTCGGACTTCCGCGGTTCCGATGGTGGGATTGGCGATTGGCGATTTCCACTATGAGTGGAATGACCAAACCAAAATGAGCAAAATCTATTATAATCTATATTGGAAATGAATAGAAATTAATAAAAAAATTAATGTATTAGAATGGAACATGGGATCAAAATGGATCAGAATGGGCAAAGGGGACAAGAAATAGATCTTTCCAGATACATACACTATTGTTAGAGTACCACAGATTCGTTTAGCTTCACAGGAAAAGCTGAACCCAAAGAGTCCCAGCTGTCATCAGCTGTCCCTTTTTGCTCTCGTGACAAGCTGCTCCACATGCTGCTTGAAGGGGTACAAGGAGAGCGTGTTCTGCAACTTCTCGGGCACAGTCTTTGATGCATGACGGCCTAGTGGACTGCAGATGAGAGATGATGAGAGATGATGAGAGACTTAACTCAGAATTTCCCAAGAGTAGGAGTTATTTTGGGAATCGGCAAGGTCATTTTCATGTGTCACCACAAGACTAAAAACGTGTGCGTGGGTTCATCACCTGCTTTCAGCAACAGGAGACGAGGTTCTGTTGATGTTGCTTAAGAATGGAAAGTGCATTCCTTTCTTCGAAAATAAAAACATGAATTGAATGCTGTGAATAGAAAGGAATAGAATATGGATAAGTTACACCCCCGTACACCCTAAACGGTTACAATGTCCCATATCCAGCTCAGCGTCTGTGTGCATGTTTATGATTATACTAGCTCCTGATGCTGGCAATGTTTGATCCATGTCAATCGAGAACAGAATGAATCACAGACAAGCAACATTTCTCATGCCACACGGTTTCGATTTTTTGCCACGGCATTTGTACAGTATCTGAGACAATAAGAGGGAGACAAGGTAGGAGACAAGTGGGAGACCAGTGGTAAACGCAAAAAAAAAACATGGTGGAACATGACTTTATCTTGAGAAAACAAGAAAACACAAAGGGAATAAAGAACAAGGACAAACACAAAACACAACAAAAATCATAAAACTATAGAACAGGACACTGCCACTAAGGCAGACATATGATTGGAGACACATGACTTCGGAGACAGATGAACTACCAGACAGAAGGTGAGAGACAAATGATGGAAGACACACAAAAGCGAACAGGCGAAAGAGCCGGACACCACCACTAATAGACTAAGGCAGACCGATGCTTGGAGACAAATTAGGAGACATGCATAAAATTGGGAGACACGTGGCGAGAGACACATGATGAGAGACACGTGAAAGCAAAGAAAAGACATCCAAAGATCCGGACACCACCAGCCAGACTGGGAGACAAATGCAAGAGCCGGACACCATGAGCTTGCGCTGGGAGACAAATGAATTGGGAGACATCTGGATAGCCGTACACCACCAGCCAGACTGGGAGACGAAGCAAGACAAGTGAAGACAAACAGCTGGACACCACCAGCCAGACTGGGAGACAAATGAATTGCCACTGGGAGACACATGAATTGGGAGACATCCGGAGAGCCGGACACCATGAGCCAGATTGGGAAACAAATAAAAGGCGACAAGTTGACAAGTGAAGACAGACACCTGGAGAGCCGGACACCACCACCTGGAAAGAGCCGGACACCTCTTAAGAAAGAATTAAGAATCCCAACAGTAAACTGCTTGGGAAATAAACTGACTGAAACCACTGGTGCCTGAAGATCTTCGTACTAGATCCTCTGTTGTGACTGCGACTGGCTCGGCGCCTGACGTGCCTGACAAGAAGCCAAGTAAAACATTAAGAGCTGCAAGACATATGAGATATCGAACACAATTTGATAAAGCACCAATCTGAGCATGCCCATGCTTGTGCCATCTGCAGACATCTATCACTGCAGGTTCATTGCATTCGCTCATGCCGGTCTCCAGATTTTGCATGTATCGGCTCATTCACCCAATTCTCTTAAAGTCTTAGGCGAGGTGGACAGCCCAACCTCCTTGACTTTTCTGCGGTCGCAGCAGATAGCCCAGCAAAGCTCCCAAGGAAATCCCTGCGAAACAGTCCAGCATCATGGCGTGGCACCGGAGTCAAAGTATGTATAGAATGAATGTGAAGCAAAGTGAAGCATAGGATGCGAATGTAAAAAAGCGTACTGAGTATACCGGGAATGTACCTGAAAATCTATGGTAATGGTATATCCACGTCGCAGTCATTGCAGTATTGTGATTGGTCCTCACCCGTTATATTCAAAGCACTTTCAGTGTGAAGCAAAAAAATGTAAGTCAAGGATAGTCAAGGCAAGCTCTAAAGATACTTTGAAGGTTCGGCTCCCTGATGCCATGCTCCGGAGATGGGCATCTTACTGTATTGTGGTGGGTAGTTTTTGAATCAGTTGTAGCCTCATATTTCTTGAGGTTCGTGATGTTAGTGTTGAAGTATCAGTAAACACATCATGCGCTAGTGACCATGCGAAACGTGAGGTATCCTTTGAAAGCGCAAATGCCAACGGGTTCAAGTCACCAGAGTAGCTGACTCGACAGCGCAAGCATGTCGTGGATAGTTGTTCTGCCATGTTGCTTCTGATGTTTTCAGAAAACAAGCTTTAGTCATAAAACGCCAGAGTTGGATCATTCTGCAAGACTGCCACACATGAGATCACTTGAATCTCATTTGAATAGCTGTGAAGTTAACTCAGCTTTCCAAATTATGCATGTTATGTACACGCATAACCCACCTTAACCCATTTTAACCCGTCTCTTTTCGCTGAACCAAAGATAGGTCTGTGTGGAGCTGCCAGGCTCCAGAAATAATCGGGCTGACCCCAAGGCCAAGTGTCCGAGCATGGCTGATCTGCCGTATTTTCCCGTTGTGTTTATTAACATGGGGTCCCACATGGTTTACATCATTGAACAATAACTAAACCATGTTATGTTTTTATCATATACTGTATATTACTGTATTATATATATATACATATTATGTATGTATATATATATGTATGTATATATATAATGTGTGTGTATATATCAAACCCAATGATGCACAATGATTTCTGTGGCAGTTGCTGGGCATCCTTGACCTTGGTGTCCTATTCTGCCGATCCCCCTCTGGGTTGACCAGCAGGCTTCCAGGCTTTCCAAACGGCCTATGACTAAGTTCCGAATTGGCGGCAAAAAAAACTGACCGATTCCCTATGTTTATTTTGCTTTGTTCACCCCTGTCCGAAGGAGTGTAAGACAAGGTATCTGGAGCGGTTTGATGATGGATCATCACCTACATATTCTGTACAAAAGAGAGAGAGCATTGAACGCTGTGCCTATATCCTGCATGGTTCATGGCTAGGGACTTTACTTCGCTGAAGAGGGTACCCACCATAGACAGAACCTGTTCATGAAGATTGATCGTCATTGATAAGTAAGATCAACAGAAACATGCTGCGGTATAATAGTGAAACCTGGTCAATCGCAGCAAAACATCTGGCAAGGTGCGACAGGTTGTGACTATGGAACGAGAACTTTGGAGTTCTTTTTTGCGGCCTCAGATTTCAAAACATCGGGGGCCATCCAACTGAACAATTCAGATGGATGTCATCTGTACGGGCAGTAACGGAGCAAAGCCAACTTCGCTAATAATCTTGGAGGAAACCCTTACAATAGATTGTTCGGAAGCAACAAAGCTTTGATTTTTCAGACAGGGTCTGGGCGTTTGAACTCAAGTTCTGCAAGCTTAGACCCGAAGGAGGGAAATCAAAGCGAATGAAACACTGGCAGCGTATGTTCAAACACACCAAGGCGAAAGAAACATGAGACCAGTGGCAACTGTGAATAGATGAACTGCAAATGTCGGTTTGATGTCTTCGTTAGAACAAACATGATGGGTGTGGGAAGGGGAAAGAAGACTGCCCAAGTCGTCCAGTTCATAGCTTTGGTGTTCCCAATCAATCACTAGTCACTTACCCACGAACAATGCTCAGAAAATGCACACCCCGAAATTTGCTTTCTGATAACCATGAAATGACACTTTGCCGTGAAAAAAAAACATCGACTCCAAATGAGCCACTTCGCTTCAATGTTGTTCTGGTGATTTCTGCAGGGAGTTGGCTTTGCTCCGGATTCTTATTGAATGTGACTTCTCATGAGATGCAGCCTCTGAAGTAAGCCAGACTGACCCGTTGGACATGTTTGACCTACAAGTTACGTGTGGCCCTGGCTTCCACTGGTGACCCTATCCCTCCCCATGAGTTTCCCTTTCTTCGATTGTTGGATCCTCCAGCCTGGCTTTAGAATTATGAGAAGTTTACTCAATCCCAAGATATTCCAACCAGCATTGCTGCATAGCTGAGTCAAAACTTGAAAAGACCTGAAGTCCAAACGGGGCAAAGAATTGCTGCGCTGTTTGTACGCACATTCAATCAAACCAAGACAAAGTTGCCTTAAAAATTTAGATTTATTATATTTGGATGAGTTGCACATCCTACCCACGGCCAACGACAACATCGAAGCTGAATCTGAGCCCTTTCACGCCGTGCTGGCCTGAACTGAGGCTGATGTCATGCAGGTCCACATCTACGACGGAACCGGTCACGCTGCAGACATCCAGTGCATGTCATAAAGGACCGGACAAGGCTCGTAGCATTGAATATATATATATATAATATATATATAATTAAAACTATATATATATGCCTTTACAAATTCAGACTATTCACCATCTTTCTTACCTCTGTGGGCAGGAGTTGTTTTTCAAATCCACAGGTACACCATGGTACACCATACAATTATGGAGTTTGATCAACCCTTGGGAATCTATCTAATCATATCTAATCTATCTGCCAGGACGATGGACCACTGTGGACTATCATGGAAGATCTGGTACCGTGACCCACTGCAACCGCAAGCTGTTGACCCGGATCGAAGCTACAAACGCCAATCGATTGACACTACTGGGCGAACTGATACTGATTCCATGTGCAGCATCTGGTACCTCAAGAGAAACGTCTATGAAGTCAAACATAGAGTGACTTTGACTGGGCATGTTTATTTAACCTTACGACAAATTCGGAATTTTTGCCCGGAGAATTGTAGATACACAAAAGCTGTTCTTTCCCCATGCTCAAATTATCGGGCAAACCTGCGGTTTTTGAGCTTCCTTTACTAACCCTTAACCAACTCCGTATAGTCTGCGTTTTGTAACTCCTGCGCACGGTGTTGACCCTTCGCAAGATCTTGAATTTGTACTGTTAGCATCTGTTACTGTAGCCAAAATACTGGGCGTTGGGTGAAAATTAGTGTGGCTCGCTTACAATGGAATAATCCCTTCCCCCTATTACTAAACCCCCCCAAATAATAAAAACAATATAAAAACTAGGGTCTATCTCCAATTTTCGAAAATTTCAGATTGGCCAACTTGACTTTTAATTGATCCCCTTTGGAAAACAATTTAAAAATCAAGCTATCATTTGTGGGTTTCGCCCCCTAATAATAAAAACTAGTCAACCCCGGGGTGTTTATTATTAGGGTCCGTCCGATTTTTTTTTTTAATATTAGGGCGTTTAATTCATTATTAGGGCCCTCTTCGAAAACCAATTTTTGGCAATATTTTAATTGCGTTATAAAAGGAAATTTAATTGATATTGAAATCGAAAAAATAGTTTGTATTATTAAGGTTTTAAATTTATTAATAGGGCCCGCTTCAAACTCCAATTGTTGGCAATATTTTAATTGCGTTATAAACGGAAAATTAATTGATATTGAAATCGGAAAAAATAGTTTTTTTCATTAAGGTTTTTAATTTATTAATAGGGTCCGCTTCGAAATCCAATTTTTGGCAATATTTTAATTGCGTTATAAAAGGAAATTTAATTGATTTTGAAATCGGAAAAAAATAGTGTTTATTATTAAGGTTTTAAATTTATTATATAATAGGGTTCCCTAACAATAAATACCATCCTAATGAGAAAAACTACCTGAGGTGTTTATTATTTGGGGAGGGGGGGGACGTTTAGTATTAGGGGGAAGGGATTACACATCATCATCATCTGCTTGTTTTCTCCTTGGTTTCCATCAAGCCAACTGATGAGAAACAAATTCCCGACGCAGGCAATGACAGAATGTTAAAGAGTACATCGAAAGAGTTTAGCATTGTCAGTTCATCCCGCTCCTCAACCCAGGGTCCTGCGAATTGGCACTGAATTCGGAATGATTCGAGCGTATGTACACTTCCACAGCGCACAAGACGGATATCGAAGGTACTTTTCTGTGGTCTGGCGCGCCCAGAATTCAAACATCTTCATTTTGATTTGACGCAAATCTTGATGTTTTGATCTCAGGTTCAAAGGCATATGCCTCCCCAAGTTTCCGCTTTTTGCAGACTCATGAAAACAATGTTCTTCCAATAACTTGAATCACGCAATGACAAAACTTGTCTCGGGGCTAAAGACCAGGCAAGTCTAGAGTTCGGATGGTGCCATCCGTGACCTTCAGCTCTTGGCATCGTCGGATTCGTTGGACTCTTTGATAATGATACAATAATTTCGTGGTACATGTGATAACTCATATTTAGAGTTTCCTTCTGCTTTTTAGTCGAGGAATGTCACGGATGCTCATCTGACGTAAACAATCAGAAGCCAAGCAAGGCCTGAAAACCTGTCAGGCAAGAGAGGTTGAGGGTTTTGCTGACTTTCAGGTCTGGTCGCCTGTGAATGGAAGTTGCCTCTTTCATGATGATAAAGGAAAGCTGCTCAGTGCTTTCTCATGGCATGAAATAGAAACAAATCACCTCTATCTGCACAACAGCATCAACAGCTGAGCATCAAATGGACTTGCCACTTGCTGCGTGCCTTTAAAGTCATCTGAGTCATCTGAGTCATCATTCTGAAAACTTCCTGTCGCGATTCTTCTGTCGCTCCTGGCCATCGCAATCTCGGTGAATGTGAAATGGACACTGAACATGGACACTGTGTCTGGGCCGCTGGGCTGTTTCAACATGAGGCATGCACCATGTGCTGTGGAATAAGGCGTGTACAGTGTTTGGATTTATCGTGCAGCCATGAAAATAGCATGAAATAAATTTAGGTACAGTGACCA